AAGTGACCCGCTCGAGCGTACCACCAAAAATCTGGGCAACAAGGAATGGGACTAAAGCTCAACAAACCTATTCGAAACACGCCCAATACATTCTAAAACTCAAACACACAGAATTAAAGGATAGCAACAAGATATACAACCACCAACTCCACGGAACCTAAGTCTGGAATACAACAATCAAAGGAAGAGAAACCGGGATCACTATAATTGATCTACATAGAGTGTGTTTCTACCCTAAGTTCTTTGTAAGAAAGGTAAAGGGTTGGGTGGGCTACATTCTAATCTGAAAAATCTTGGATTTAGAGCACTTTGAGTTTTCATCATCTTCTCCATTTGAGCTCTTCATTTCGAGGTAAGGATATCCTACTCCATCTTATGAGCTTTGTCTTTAAATTTTGGCATTTTGATATGTTGGGGTTGTTGGGTAATTTTTGGAGAAGTTAGGGTTTGTTTTGTAAATTCTAAAAGAGGGGTTTTCCATGTTTGAGTCATATTTGTGTTATAGACTTGAAATGGAGGTTGTTTATGGATTATGGGTGAAAAAATGAGCCTTAGGGCTATTATTGGAAAAGGGGGGAAAATGCCCTAATTGTAATAAATAATTAATTTGTATAATTAATTTGGGGAAATGTGAAATTGAGTTGAGAATAATGAAATTGAGAAATTATGTGATTAAATGGTGTAGTTGGATTAGTTTATCACTCACCTACGGAAAATGTTGATATTATACCTGATGTTGCATTTATGTTCTGTTTAGAAATATCTGCTTTGGGCTATCGATAGAGGATAGGCTTGATTGTTGTAGATACTGCATGTTGATTAGGGAAAACCAAAACTAATCACATTGAATATGTCATCGAATGTGACAGTTAGAATAATACATCAAATTTATGTATTGATTGACATTGTATATGATATGTATTTATATACATTGTGTTGCGTGAGAGGAGATATGGGATGTACTTCACAGTTTAGGGGAAGATGGGGGATGGACTCCTAAAACGGACATTGTTTGGGAGGAGATAGGGGATGTACACCATTGATACAGCAAATATGTGTATCTATTGAAGTATTGATATAGCAAATTTGTATATCATATATGAAGTATGGAAGCGTTTTGTTTGAGATTGATACAGCGATTATGTGTATCTATTGTGAAATAAGAAGTGTTTAATACAAGCTGTTATTAAACTATCTGGCCAAGTTCTGAGCCACGTTTATGAAATGAGTTGATAAGTAAAGTAAAGTAAAATGTGACATGGACACAAGTGTCATGGAACTGTATTGCGATATAACTGGTTTTATAAGTGTTAACCATCTATCAAATGCTATTGTTTTAGTCATTGCTTATATTTGGTTTAGTATATCTCTACTGGGCTGTGGCTCACCCTTTATGGGACATCATTTTCAGGTCCAGGTGATATGCCACCTTCAAGGACATAGCTTGGAAGGCTTTGGGATTTGAAGACTCTTTTTGTTGTTTTGTTATTTTTTGTTGTATTACATGTAAATTCAAGCCAAGGGCTGAATATGATATGAGTTAGTACTCTCTTTTGTGTAACCAAGTGTTGATTTGGAAAGTTGTAAGCTGTTGGGCATTTACTTTTGTTGTCAACATGTAATACATTTGTAAGGACTACTCTGATGAATGGAAAAGTGTTTATTTCTCTTATGTCAAGAATGTGGGGTTTTATGTATTATTTTTTGAGGGCGTTACAAAAACAATAAAATTTAGATAAAGATATGATTTGTTAATCTATATATCTATCAAAAACATATATATCTAAATCTTTATTTTGATTTATTCATATTTTTCTTCTCCTTTTATCACATAATATCTTTTTTTATTTTAAATTTTCTATGCTATTATGAAATGCCTTTATCTATAACTTCTTATCTCCTATTAAATTCTTAACTTTGTCTTGATAATTTTTTATTATTCGTTATTATCTACCAAGTGATAAAGATTATAAAAAAAAAAAATTTATTAGCTCTGAATGAAAAGAGTATTAATAATGAAACTGGTTGGCTTTGAATAAGAAGAGTATTAATAATGAAATAATGAAGGCTGCATGGGAGAAGGCAACACAAAAATCTCACAAAATTAATTTTCGTTACTATATTTATACAAGGTAATAATTTGATATTCTTTCTATTAGTTATTAAAAATAGTTTGCATTAGATCATTGTTATGTTTTTATGTTTTATTTTTTATAAGGCTGTCATTCGTTATAGTATTTCTTCAATCCCATCTCTAAATTCTCTTTTTGAAATTTTTGTTTTTTCAATAATAAAGTTTAGAATCAATTTCTTATCAAATTTGTTTTCTTGGTTCCAATTTTATTGAAGGATTGAGACGAGTAAAACTTTCATATGATATATGAAATTAATGAATATAATACAAAGATGATAGGGAAGTACTACATATTTGTCAATATCTTTATGTTATTATTAGTTGATTTACTAGATTATACTATCAAGTTAGAGTCCATATAATTTAATTCAATGTCCATGACTTTATTTGTATTCGACCATTTTTTCGTTGAGTAACCTATATAATTTTTTTTTTTGGGTATATAATGATTAAAGCTTTCATTTGTTATATTTCTTCAAGTACAATTCAAATAATTTTTCATCATTTTTTTTATAAATAAAATGGATTGAAACTATTTTCTTATATAATTTTTATAATCCTACGAAATTCTTATCTTGAAAAAAACTACTTATAAATTATAATTAAAAGTTGATATTTATTCATAATTTGATCCCACAATAATAATATACACCACTAATTTAAAAGTTCAAGTAAATTTATGATAACTTTTCTGAGTTTATAGATTTCTCTCTTTTAATATTTTGTTTAGTTTGATACAAGTTATTTATGTTATCAAGTGATTGTGATGCTATTATTCTCAACAATTTTTATAATTAATAATTTTTTATGTATATCAAATTTTATTGTCAAATTTTGTAAGTTAATTATTGTTAACATCTACCCAGATGGCTTAACATCGTGGCTTGTCGCTATTAAGATATAATTTAAGAGTAAGCCGATTTATTTATCACACAAAATATATATAGTCTATTTTTCCGTGCATCGCACGGGTTACCGCTAGTTTGACATATGAGAATGATGCTTAGGAACATTTCATCAAACACTTGGTGTGCACTCAAAATCGGCACATTTAAAAAGTTTTTTTTTTTTTTTTTGGTGCAAGCAAGTGGAGATTGCAATTAAGAAGATGAAATCAAATAAGGCTTTAGAACCCGATGATATCCCTATTGAAGCTTGGAAGTGCTTGGGTAAAAAGGGGGTTGCTTCGTTGACTAGGTTGTTTAGCAAAAATTTGTTGACTAGAAACATGCCAGATGAATGGAGGAAGAGTATTTTAGTGCCAATATATAAGAATAAAGGAGATGTCAAGAATTGCAACAACTATAAAGAAATCAAGCTAATTTGCGAGATAATGAAAGTGTGGGAGAGCGTGATGGAACACCGATTACGAGATATAACAGAAGTGTCAAAGAATCAATTTGGTTTTATGCCTGGCAGGTCAACAATGAAAGCAATTTATCTTTTAAAGAGAGTGATAGAAAAGCATAGAGAAAAGAAAAGAGGCATTCATATAGTGTTTATCGACCTTGAGAAAACATATGATATAGTGTCCCGAGATATAATATGGTAGGTGTTAGAGAAGAAAGGGGTAACAAAAGGTTATATTGATGTGATTAGGGACATGTATGAAGGGGTGATGACCACTATTAGATCGCTTGCTGGAGTGACAACTGAATTTCCTATCACTGCAGGGTTACATCAAGGATCTACCTTAAGTCCTTATCTTTTGCTTTAGTTATGGATGAGTTGACGAGAAATATTCAAGATGACGTGCCATAATGTATGCTTTTTGCAGACGATATCGTGCTAGTGGATGAGACTAGAGAAGAAGTTAACACAAAGTTGGAGATTTGGAGAAAAGCTCTTGAATCTATAGGATTCCAGACAAGCAGAACTAAGACAGAGTACATGGAGTGTAAATTTAGTAACAGTAACAATGAAAGCAAAGGAGAAGTGAAGATTGAGAACCAAGAACTGCCTAATAGTGAACATTTTCGTTATTTAGGGTCGATTATCACAATAGCAGGGGAGATCGATGCGGATGTGGCTCATAGGATTAAGGCGGGATGGTGTAAGTGGAGAAGTGCGTCTGGGGTATTGTGCGATAAACAAATACTCACTAGACTAAAAGGTAAGTTTTATGAACGGCTATTAGACCAGCAATGTTGTATGGGACGGAGTGTTGGGCAACCAAGAAACAACATGTAGATAAGATAAGTGTGACTGAGATGAGGATGCTAAAGTGGATGTGTGGCAAGACTAGACAAGACAGAATTAGGAATGAGTGTATTCAGGAATGGGTAAGAGTAGCACTGATAGAAGATAAGTTGAGAGAGAATCGATTGAGATGGTTTGGTCATATTCAATGGAGATCAACAGGGGTAGTAGTAAAGAGATGCGATGCTGTAACGGTAGATGAGAGTGTTAGGGGATAGGGTAGGCCTAGATTAACGTTGGCTAGCATTGTAAATAGAGATATGGATCTACTTAATTTGATTAACGAAATGACCTTTGATAGGGCCGCGTGCAGAAGAATGATGCATGTAGCTGACCCCATTTGATGGGACTTAAGACTGGGTTTGGTTTGGTTTATTTGGTGAAAAAATTGCCTCTCCATTGATTTGATACAGATTTGTTGAAATTGTTGGAGTGCAAGTTTAGCCATTTTTTTCGTCAAATTTGAATTTGATAACAAAATAGAAGGACTGGAGATTCTCTTTTTGGGCTAGAAGAGTCGGCACCAATCATTTCACCAAATCAAGCTCTAACCAAATCCTTCACCAAATTTTCACCGGTTATATTTTTGCTCAATCTTTATAATTTTCAGATTTATTCACCAATTCCCAACAAAATTTTAAAAAAAGTAAGGATTGGTGATGGTCTCCTTTCATGAGAAATGGTTAAAACAAGTTTTTAGGATAACTTAAGATTTTTTCAAAAAGATTTGATGAAAAGAAAAAAGAGAGTAGGATTGCCGTGTTCTATATCATATCAAAAATTTAACCAAATTTCACTCAAATTTGATGAAAAAAAGAGTAATGTTTGGAGATGCTCCAAGGAGTCTACATTTTAGTGGAAAGAAGAATTTATTTACTTCATATTCTGTACTTATGTTATCTTTCCTCAGCCATCTGAGCAGCCAAACAGTTTTGTTTACCCGTTTTATTAATATAGTTTTCAAAATAATGTAGGGTTGAAGATTTGTGTGTTGAAGGGATCAAGAAATGCTACTTTCTTGATTTTCTTGGGCCGAGAGGATTTGCAGCGGAACTTTCGTGGCGAACTTCATGCGAGTAAGCAAACATTTGTGTGTTAATTTGATTTGAATGGTGGTTTTGGTGTTTGATTTCACTGCTGTTTTGGGAGTATATGGTCTCTTAATGTGAAGTTGGTTTAATTAGGGTGATTGGGTTCGATCATAGAAAATCAATACTGTCCAAGATTTCATCTGACCATGATTGCAGTGGGAACCTCACATTTCATGTTGATATTGAGAAGAGCAGCTCGACTGCTGTGTATGAATACTTCTCTGCAAAACTTTCAGAGATGAAATACGGTGATGTGAGTACAAGTGCAATTATTCTCTGTTTGTGCTTTAACACCTAATTATTCTGGTAATATAGGGTTGTGTTTGCTTGTGGTGAATTGGAATCCCATTCAATGATTCAATTCAACTGAATTCAAAATTCCAAATATCATTAGAGTGTGGCATCCACATTAAATGCAGAAACTCTAGTTTCATAGAGCAACAAAGTAATGGAATTTAAATTGGGCCATTTTTTTCGAAGCAACCAAACACAATTGGGGGCTATCTTTTCTACCACAGAATTAGAGATAACACAAAACGTGAAAATTTTGCTTTTAAGGAGTACCGATACTGCTACTGATTATGGCTTTGTGGTGTAAGGAATTTAAGTTCGAAGACAAATTTAAGTACATGAAGTGGCCAAACATTTGAATTGCAAACCAAAGTCCCAATTTCATGCAATCAGCTTAAACACCAATGTTAGGATGAATATTATTTAATTATTTATCTACATTTTTGTGTATAACAGGGCAATGCCAAAAGTTTATTAAACCCCAAAGATCGAGATTGCATGGAATTGGTTCTTAAGTACATTGAAGATGCAGATCTTCGCCGATGGATTTTACCAAACATTAAAGCTTTTAACATTAGACTTGGTAAATGGCATTCTATGTTGAACTGCATCACTAATCCACACATGTATGAACAGGTTCAGTGCTTCAAATTTTGAGTTTCTACTTGTATTCTTTTTAAAGAATTTATTTTGACTAGCATATTGTTTAATGTTACTGTTTTTTTGTTTGATATTCATGCCTAATGTTTTTGTCTTACATGTGAGATTTTCTTAAATAGTAGTAGAAAAAGAGAAGCGAGCTCACTGCAATGTTAACTCCTAGCCTGCTGTCTATTTATATTATCTGTGTTGTATAGCTAAAAAATTCATCAAAATCTATTTTTTACAACTATTTGTAAGAGACAAGCAGATTTCTAGGAAGTGCAACCTCTCTTGTTAGAAATGAGCAGCCATGTTAATAATTTTTCAAAGGGTAATTTTATTTGTATACCATAGAAAATCTCAGTACACACCATTTGTGCCATTCGGATATAAACTTTTGTACAAAAGTCAAATGTTGGGACATAAACTTTTGAACAAAAAACAGCTGTTCGGATATGAAAAGTTGAATGGAATGTATATCTGAACAATTCATTTTTGTTTGAAAGTTTAAAGTTTATGTCTGAACATTTGACTTTTGTTCAGAAGTTTATATCCAAACGACACAAATGGTGTGCACTGAGATTTTATGTGGTGTGCAAACAGAATTTTACTTTTGCTAAACTGATTCATGCTGCTCAGAAGCAAACGTATAAGCAGAGATATGTTCAGTTGTGTGCACAACTTATTTATTTATAATCTGGATCTAGAGGCTGAAGTTGGAATGAATTGTCATCTGAATCGCTTTTGCCCTTTCATCTATGGTTCTTGTGCTTTAGTTTAGAGTTTTAACGTCAGTTGTTGAACTTGGCTCAAACTGTCTATTTTTACAGTTACTGGAGATAAGCTCTGCAGATTTAATTGGCATGGGAATTTCTTATATATCTACTCAGCAGGATGCTGTGAAAAAATTGCTGGATAAGGTTTTCAAAGTTCATTTAGGCAGAGGATTTTATGGGGAGTGTCTGGTAAACTAGCTATGTTAAAGCGCTATCTTTCAACAGCACAATAATTTTAGTCCTGGTATATTTTGCTTGAGAACTGTTGTCATGTGGCTTTTATGTATAATGTTTGTCACCTGAAGCCCTATGTAACTTTTGGTTTTAACATTTGTCTTTAAAGCATATCTACCTCATTAGATATTGGAGATGCTAAACTTTTAAAACTTTTGAGTTCTTTCTTGTTAAAATGATTATCATTCCTCTTCTTCTGTTAGTGAACAAACATTTTTACATCTTCTTCAAATACTCAAGCAAATTTTTGATTCCATGAATCTGGTCCTTAGGGAGTAAGAGCTGATGGAAATTCTAATTTAAGTGATGAAATTGGCAAGGAACTTAGCATAAAGAGTGCTGCTGCTGGATTGAGGTAAGTTGCTATTGGAATAGATGTTATTGACTTAACTATATTATTTATTTCTAGAATGATATTTTTGGCATGTGAACTGTCATCAATCTATCTACCTAAGTGTCAGGTCTTTTTTGATGGCTCTATACTAGGTCATGCTTTATGTAGCACCAATTATCTGTACCTTGAAGGTTGGCTGCACTGCTATTTAAATAGTTTCCTCTACTCACAGTTGCAGATTGCGAGTTAGAACATTTAAAATTTTAACCACTCTTGAGCTTCTAAACTAAGAGCTTTTCTTATCAAAATACTAAACATTTTCTTAGATTATTGCTAATTAATGTGCAATACATATCATCTTGAATATGTGCATTTGTGATGTCAGGCCCATAGGAGCTGTTGTTTACATGCAACGAAATAATCTTAAAGTGTGCTTAAGGAGTACTGATACTGCTACTGATACCTCTGAAGTTGCAAAGGTGTGCATGATGATGAAAAGTGTTTTTTTTCTTTTTTTTTTTGGTTCTTTCTACCTCCCTTAAGATTGGATGTTTTGGGATCAGTTTTAATCGAGTTTGCATTGCTTGTTTTAAACATAAAGGCATATGGTGGAGGAGGTTCCCCAAGTTCCAGCTCCTTTATAATAAGGATGGATGAGTATAACCAGTGGCTCTCAGTACACCAACCATGAAAACATTAAGGTATGTCATTATTTACCCTTTTTAGACAGCAGTAAATTGGTTCTTTAAATGTTGTAATCCATGGAAGCATTTCCACTGACTTGTGCTACTAGTACCTAGTCATCTGAATTCCCAAACAATTCTCTGGAATTTAAGTTTGAAGACAAATTTAAGTACATGAAGTGGCCAAACATTTGAATTGCAAACCAAAGTCCCAACTTCATGCAATCAGCTTAAACACCAATGTTAGGATGAATATTATTTAATTATTTATCTACATTTTTGTGTATAACAGGGCAATGCCAAAAGTTTATTAAACCCCAAAGATCGAGATTGCATGGTATTGGTTCTTAAGTACATTGAAGATGCAGATCTTCGCCGATGGATTTTACCAAACATTAAAGCTTTTAACATTAGACTTGGTGAATGGCATTCTATGTTGAACTGCATCACTAATCCACACATGTATGAACAGGTTCAATGCTTCAAATTTTGAGTTTCTACTTGTATTCTTTTTAAAGAATTTATTTTGACTACCATATTGTTTAATGTTACTGTTCTTTTGTTTGATATTCATGCCTAATGTTTTTGTCTTACATGTGAGATTTTCTTAAATAGTAGTAGAAAAAGAGAAGCGAGCTCACTGCAATGTTAACTCCTAGCCTGCTGTCTATTTATACTATCTGTGTAAAAAATTCATCAAAATCTATTTTTTACAACTATTTGCAAGAGACAAGAAGATTTCTAGGAAGTGCAACCTCTCTTGTTAGAAATGAGCAGCTATGTTAATATTTTTTCAAAGGATAATTTTATTTGTATACCATAGAAAATCCCAGTACACACAATTTATGCCATTCGGATATAAACTTTTGTACAAAAGTCAAATGTTGGGACATAAACTTTTGAACAAAAAATAGTTGTTCGGATATGAAAAGTTGAACGGAATGTATATCTGAACAATTCATTTTTGTTTGAAAGTTTAAAGTTTATGTCTGAGCATTTGACTTTTGTTCAGAAGTTTATATCCAAACGACACAAATGGTGTGCACCGAGATTTTATGTGGTGTGCAAACAGAATTTTACTTTTGCTAAACTGATTCATGCTGCTCAGAAGCAAACGTATATGCAGAGATATGTTCAGGTGTGTGCACAACTTATTTATTTATAATTTGGATCTAGAGGCTGAAGTTGGAATGAATTGTCATCTGAATCGCTTTTGCCCTTTCATCTATGGTTCTTGTGCTTTAGTTTAGAGTTTTAATGTCAGTTGTTGAACTTGGCTCAAACTGTCTATTTTTACAATTACTGGAGATAAGCTCTATAGATTTAATTGGAGAGGGAATTTCTTATATATCTACTCGGCAGGATGCTGTGAAAAAATTGCTGGATAAGGTTTTCAAAGTTCGTTTAGGCAAAGGATTTTATGGGGAGTGTCTGGTAAACTAGCTATGCTAAAGCGCTATCTTTCAACAGCACAATAATTTTAGTCCTGGTATATTTTGCTTGAGAACTGTTGTCATGTGGCTTTTATGTATAATGTTTGTCACCTGAAGCCCTATGTAACTTTTGGTTTTAACATTTGTCTTTAAAGCATATCTACCTCATTAGATATTGGAGATGCTAAACTTTTAAAACTTTTGAGTTCTTTCTTGTTAAAATGATTATCATTCCTCTTCTTTTGTTAGTGAACAAACATTTTTACATCCTCTTCAAATGTTCAAGCAATTTTTGATTCCATGAATCTGGTCCCTAGGGAGTAAGAGCTGATGGAAATTCTAATTTAAGTGATGAAATTGGCAAAGAACTTAGCATATAGAGTGCTACTGCTGGATTAAGGTAAGTTGCTATTGGAATAGATGTTATTGACTTAACTATATTATTTATTTCTAGAATGATATTTTTGGCATGTGAACTGTCATCAATCTATCTACCTAAGTGTCAGGTCTTTTTTGATGGTTCTATACTAGGTCATGCTTTATGTAGCACCAATTATCTGTACCTTGATGGCATGTTTGATTGGAAGGATTAGAGAATGGGATTGGGATTATTAATCCGTGGGCCCAATTATCCTATGTTTGTTTTGACATTTTGTTTTAGGATTATCAATCCAATGGATAATTAATCCAACAAATTTGTAGGATTATTAGTAATGGGGTAGGGGTGGGATTGTGAGTACCACACTAATTTGATTGGATTATTAATACCTCACTATTAGTCTTGTGGAATCAAACATGGCCTGAAGGTTGGTTGCACTGCTATTTAAATAGTTTCCTCTACTCACAGTTGCAGATTGTGAGTTAGAACATTTCAAATTTTAACCACTCTTGAGCTTCTAAACTAAGAGCTTTTCTTATCAAAATACTAAACATTTTCTTAGATTATTGCTAATTAATGTGCAATACATATCATCTTGAATATGCGCATTTGTGATGTCAGGCCCATAGGAGCTGTTGGTTACATGCAACGAAATAATCTTAAATGTGCTTAAGGAGTACCGATACTGCTACTGATACCTCTGAAGTTGCAAAGGTGTGCATGATGAAGAAACATGTTTTTGTTTTTTTGTTGTTGGTTCTTTCTACCTCCCTTAAGATTGGATGTTTTGGGATCAGTTTTAATCGAGTTTGCATTGCTTGTTTTAAACATAAAGGCATATGGTGGAGGAGGTTCCCCAAGTTCCAGCTCCTTTATAATAAGGATGGATGAGTATAACCAGTGGCTCTCAGTACACCAACCATGAAAACATTAAGGTATGTCATTATTTACCCTTTTTAGATAGTAGTAAATATGTTCTTTAAATGTTGTGATCCATGGAAGCATTTCCACTGACTTGTGCTACTAGTACCTAGTCATCTGAATTCCCAAACAATTCTCTTTACACAATCATTTAATACCGCTACTCTTATTCTCTTATATCTTCTCATTTATCAATAGCTATCTTATGTTTATGAATGTCATTGTTTCACTCCTTTGAATTGTGTAAGAAATGATGTTATGATATTTTTTATTTAATTTACCCCTTTATGATCTTACTAAATTCTCATTAAAAATTTGGAGGATGTTGGCCAATGACTTCTAGATGCTCCAATCCATACGCATTATACTTTGTGTGTGCACGTTTGTGCACTTCAACAAAAATAGAAAGTAAAAGATTTCACAATTGTGCTCCATTTGCTTATCAGTCTGGGTACTCGTGAAAATAAAATAAAATGAAGACTTACCAGTCTGATTGCATTTGTCTACTTGTTCCCTTTCAATCTTCCTTTTCTTTGATTAATTATTTGCGTGCATTTTTATTTTTTTTTTGTCTATGTATTTTGCATGAAAATCATAAATAGCTCTCATGAAAGACATTTCTATTCTACACCTTTCTCTAGTTCAGCGGGTACAAGCAGAAGGATGATTAATTGGTGGATGTGAGAGGGTTTAGTTTGGCTTCCACATATGTGTGTGGGAGAAATTAGAGTTGAATATGATATATGCACACAGATTTTAACAGCCTCAAATTACCAGCAAGATTGGTTGAAACCCCCAATCGGGCCTCCCCTTTCCAAACAGAAGGGGAAAACAGCCCACTGCTGCCACTGCCACTGCCACTGACACCATGAAATCAAAAGGAAAGATTAACTGAACATGGATATGCCTAACAACAATGTCATGAACAACAGAAGGAAATACCAAAGAAAGAAAAAAGTTGATATATTCTTACTCCATCATGGGCATGATCCTGGATTGTTAAGCTTGTCACCTAAATGCATTATATATGAGCAGCCAAGCATCCCAATGTTGAACAATTAGCACAAGATTCATTCTACGCAGTAAAAATTCTTGAATGTTCAATTCTTATATTTATGATTATGTGTATAAGTGTGGTTACATAACACAATCATAACCAATAATATTGAGATGTGTTAATTAAACTGTACGATTTTAAATTTTCCGGTTCTTGGGTTGGTTTAGGTTACCCAATCACCAACTAGAGAACCGAACTGATTAGTTGGTTCTGGGATTTTTGGACCCAGAATTGAACTGAACCAATGCTAGAGCTGAACTTACACAACCCATAAAGGTTGATTTGGTTTGTTTCTTTTGTGCACTCCTACTATTTAGACATCCATTTAGGTTCAAAATGATATAATTTATACATGCATATGTAATTTACATAAATGTATGTAGATGTCCTGGTGAGGAGTTTTTGTCATTATATTTTTGAGTTAAGCTAATAGTTGAGCGTTGTGATTTTGAAATGACCAATCATGCTTCTTGGAAAAATGGAGTCAACTTGTGCTTTTTATATTGAGCTTGGTTGCAATTCTGCCCACTTTGTTTTCTTAGTTCTAAAGATTGGAGAGCGGTTTGTGATTTGTAAGTGATTTCTTTGTTTGTTCTTCTTTTATTTTTTTTGGTGATGTCTTTGCATATGTACAAAACTACTTGTCCTCTTTTTGTATCTCAAAAAATTTCCTTTTTGTTGTATAAAAAAAAATGTTCAACTTTGATGGAACATATTTGTTGCTAATAAAAATAATAATAAAAAATATAAGCTACATGTTAATTATACATATATAAGTCTTATTATTTGCTTGGAATGAAGTCTCTGAGTTCTACTACATCAGTGCCTAGGGCATTGTAGCATAGTGGTATAGGTGTGACAAAGGAGAAGTGAATTTATGGGTTCAATTCATGGTGTTTGAGCTATTACCCAATGCTAGTCTTGCCAATGCAGGGCGTTGGAGAAGTAGATTTGGAACTAACCTAGCCTTCTGAATTATGTGCAGAAGGTGGATTTTTCATGCTCGTAACTGTTCTCCTAGCTTGATAGCTTCTATGATAGCCCATTTACATATGAAATACACCAGCATTTGTTAAGTAGTTTATTGGGCAGCCATCTTGCATAATGCCCTTCTCTATAATTGCTGAGTGAGTGTTCACCTTTAGTTACTTATCGATTTGTTTATTTATTTACATACTTTTATTTTTGGGGAGAGTGAGGGATTGCTTAACATCCATATTCAAAAGTAAACCTACTATAAAACAGTGAAATCCATATGGAACTTACACTAAACTGGGAAAAATAAAAAAAAATAAATCTGTATGAAACATACAAATTCCCATGTGGTGCTGTGTTTTTTCTGGCCATCACGTGCCTTGCTAATTTTATGCTGTGAAATTTTGAGCTAAGAATTTGCATAATATACAAGAATTAGTTCATCAGTTCGCTGGACAACCATCTGCCACTATGCCCTTAGCTGTTGGGCAAGTTGCCAAGCCACAATGTTCACCTTTTGTGCCCCACCAAGTGATTCTTATATTCTCCATGCCAACTGACAAGTATAGCAGCACAGCCATGAAAGCCACCCCTGCGTCCAGAGCCACTGAAAGAATATAGTTGTACCTTTGCCACCACTTCTTTCTGTAAGGAAAGATGAAAAAGTTGAAAATTGTTCCAACTAGGATCCATGAATTGTAATTTACTGGTGTTGCTGCTGGCATGTAAGCTGTTGCTCCCAAAAGGACTGCAAGGTTAATCAGAGGAATCCATGACTGCTTGGGAAATGCCTTATGGAAGAGCCAAACGATAATTGGTCCCACTGCACCTCCAAGAAAGAACCAATTCATGGAACTGTAGTTTCCAAGGCTTCCAAAAATCCATTTAGGCCCTACCAGACCCCATATAACCGATGCGCCAAAGAAGACCCGATCACCAGGGCATGTCCACAGACTGTCAGCTAGAAGGAGATCATCCTAGCATATGTTCGTAATAGAGTTGAGCAGCCACCATGCCATCGCAATGTTTATAGTACCCGCAATGATTGTTCCTATGAACTGTAATATGAGTAATATATGTCACAGATTGTATGGAAACAAATGTCTGAAATAATTTCTAAAAGAGAACGAAAACTATCCTCAGAATGATTTGTAGTAACAATAAACCTTTCAAGTTTGGGTGAAACTATTGAATAGCTTGATATACATTGTGGAACAATTTCCTAACAACTTAAGCTTTTGGGATAATCTAACAATGTATCAAAGCTAAACCTTTAGGTTGGCCGAGTAGTAAAGACTTGAGAGGATACGATCCAAGGTCTCAAGTTTGAGTCAACCCAAGGGGCCACTTGAGGTTTGCCTAGTCATTAATTTCAAGGCCCTGGAATTAATCGAGGCGTATGTTATACAGTAGTGTGAATGCTCCTACCACTAACTTTTCATGGGGAAGTATTTCATTTAATTTAATCCCATAGCATTTCTTTCTTGCAATAAGAAACTATTTCTAAGTACTTCTATTGCAGCATCAATGGATTATTATGTTTCTAGTGGTCCTCACCGTACACAAATATCTAGATGCTGAATTGTGAACATATGTGGCAGATTTGTATGTGTTCTGTTATATATATATATATATATATATACGGTATGTCAGTAGGGAAAATATAATTTACCTGAACTAAGAACATTGATCTTGGAGGGATCTTCATGTAGTGTCCAAGCTTGAAATCACTGAGGAAAGAGACGGCCTGAGACATGCTCATATAACCATAGACTTTGAAGCAGACATCAGCTATTGGTCTTCCTGGATATATAATACCCATGACATACTCTGTGATTATGTTCAGCCCTGGTGTCTGCATATAAAACATTAGAGCATTAGGGGGGGGACAGGAAACAGATATTACATCAATGTCTAGGAAAATAACACAACTTTGATTTTAGAGACAAAATGTTTTAACAATTGCAGATTTCCTAGTTGTTACAACTTTTTAAATATAATTTTACCAGGACCTGAAATGGTATTTTGAATTCTTGGCCATGAGGTTTGAAATGGTTTTACACTAACAGGACATAGTTCATGTTCAGCTTGTGCAGGGTAAGGAAATGATACATTATTTACTTATCATGATGCAAAGCAAACACATAAATGAAGCGACTAAAAGAGACTACTCAGGCACCTGATTTGTTGTAGCAGTTATGATGCTGATTGGAAGGGTGAAAATGAAGGCGATGATGCAAGCAAATATGAGTCCCCACCATGGCATCTGAACCTGATTGTTCAAGAAGATACAAGGTACAAGAGAGGCTGCAACCGTCACTCCAAGCAACACGTAAACCACCAGGAAGTTATGTCCTCGTTTTTTCTCATCAATCTTGTATGGATATCCTCCTTACCCGTGTACAAAGCATGGAATCGATCGTATATCTCCCTGTAGAATCACCATGAATGCATTTCTTATCCAAGTGTCAAAAAATACCGAGAATGATTATCAAAGTGCCTCTTCTTTTTCTTTTCTTTTTTTTTTCTTTTTTCTTTTCCTTCACTTGATCTTGTAATGATATATGTATGAACATATATTTATCTTATTAGTTATCAGTATCATATGATAACATTAAACATGTGGAAAACTGAGAGTTCATAAAAATTATTGAAATGGTGTTCAGTTTTGAAAACTCTCATTTGGGTAAAAATGGAAATGTAAAGAGTCTTGAGAATCCACAAAGCCTTTTAGGGTTTGGGAACATAAGGCCATGGCTAGTATTGTTTTTGTTTTCCATTTTTTTTTTTGTAGCAAAAAGCAGTTGCCAAAGTGTTGAATGTTTTAATTGGATTTGTAATGATTAAAAGGCACAGGAAATATAAGATATGGATTGTGCAAGATAATATGTTGCATGTTCTCACCATTTTCTATGTTCTTGCCTATCCAAAAATAATATAAAAAAAAACTTATTCTTATCATTGTTACATGTTCTCAACTTGGGATTTGTACAAATTGTTGACACAAAAATTTGATTTGAGTGGGAGCGCATAAAAATGTGGGGAAAAAAACTTGTTTTAATGATGTAGTCATGCTGTGATGTTGACAGTAAAATTGTACCTAGGGCACCTTTGGATAAAGTTTTTACCTTCCATAGGAGAGGCCCACATGCGTAAGAGTGGATGCAATTGTGGCAAAAACAAAACCATAAGTGAGTGCAAAAAACATGCTTAGATGTAGCCGTCCTTGCTGCTGATACTGAGTCATATCTATCTCAAACTTCTTGTCCACAATTGCTGATATGTTATACCTCTGACCTTGTGCAGTGAACAAGTGTGAGGAGAAAATGGGAAATCTTTTAGCGCCGTACAAGTCTAGGCCCCAATAGGATATGGAGATTGCAATGTAGACGATCAAGGTGTACCCGAGGAAGACATTGACAATGGAAAAGAAAGGGCATATGAGAGGGCTAAACAAAAAGGATGCAACAGTAGTCCAATTGAGTGGATGCAATAGCAGTCCAGTTCAGTCGACTGCTGAGGCTGCGAAAAGCACAGAAAGTGATTCCAACAGCAGCGAGCTTAAAGTAAGAGCAGCATTGGCATGTCTCCTTTCAGATTCTCCGATCAACTCAAAGAGCTTGGGAGGATAACCTGACCATTTCCATAATCGGGGACCAACCGAGTGTGAACTCTTCTAGCAACATCTTGGATGCATCTGACGCACCACCCCTCATTTGACAACTGGAGGAGGGCTACCTGTCTAGCAATTCTGAGTCGGGTAGTAAGCCAGAATCTGATTCCACAGAGTCTATGTAGTCGGAATCAGATTCCAATTCTTCTAAGTCTGGGTCCGGTATTCCTGGGGTTGATAACCCGGATGCTGAGGTTTTGTCTAGGTCGTCCTTTTCTTTTTCCTTTGAGTCGGTTGTAACCGAGGAATTGGATGAGTTTGACCTTGTGAATGAGAATGCCACTGTAGATTCAGAGTATTTCTCTGTGCCTCTTGTTTATTGCATTGATCATGACTTTCAAAATTTTAATGAAAACGATTAAGAAGGAATTTCTCTGGTCTTGAAAATTTTGATTAATCGAGAAGATGAGAGGTTTGCAAAGATGAAATCATTGCTACTAATGTGGGTACTGAGAAGGATCCGCGTCTAGTCCAGATCGGGTCCACGTTGTCTTCGAAGGAGCACGAGCGCTTAGTCGCTTTATTAAAAGATTTCAAAAATGTTTTCGCGTGGTCCTACGAAGACATGCCTGGAATCGATGCTGAGATTGTACAGCATCGGATTCCTTTTGACCCCGAGGCCCAACTTGTCAAACAAAAGTTGCGGAGAATACGCCCGAATTGGGCTTTGAAGATTAAGGAGGAGGTCACCAAGCAGATAGACGCAGGGTTCTTGCTAGTATCTGAGTATTCGACTTGGTTGGCCAACATCGTCCCAGTGTCGAAGAAAGATGGCAGAATTCGGGTATGTGTGGACTTCAGGGATCTGAACAGAGCCAGTCCGAAGAATGACTTTCCCTTCCCGCATATTGATGAGTTAGTGGACTTCACTGTAGGTCATGCATTGCTCTTCTTCATAGACGGATTTTCCAGGTATAACCAGATTCTGATGGCACCCGAGGACAGAGAGAAAACTGCCTGCACTACACTGTGGGGAACCTACTACTATCGAGTGATGCTGTTTGGGCTGAAAAATGCCAGGGCTACTTATCAAAGGACTGCGACCACAATTCTGCATGATATGATCCATAAAGAAGTTGAGGTGTATGTGGATGACATGATTGTCAAGTCCAAAGAAAGAAAGGACCACTACACCGCCTTGAAGAAATTCATCCAACGGATCAGAGAATACAGATTGAGGTTGAATCTACAAAAGTGTACTTTCGGCGTAAGAGCAAGGAAAATATTGGGTTTCTTGATCACACAGAGAGGCATCGAGGTAAATCCTTCCAAAATCAAGGCCATCCTAGAAATGCCACCACCAAGGACTGAAAAGGAGGTGCGAGACTTTCTGGGTAAAGTGCAATTCATAAGACAGTTTATTTCTAAATTAACCTTGACTTGTGAACCACTTTTTGGTCTCCTAAAGAAAGGAAAGAAATTCCGTTGGGATGATCGATGTCAGTTTGCTTTTGAGTAGATCAAGCAGTACCTTCAAAATCTGCCTATGTTGTCGCTACCAAAGCTGGGGAAGCCTTTGATTCTGTATCTGTTAGTAACAGACACAACAATGGAATGCATGCTTGCTCAGGAATCTGAGGATAGAGTGGAGAAAGCCATCTACTACTTGAGTAAGAAAATGCTGGATTATGAGACCCGTTACACCCCGCTGGAGAAAGCTTACTGAGTCTTGGTATGGGCTACCGGGAAGTTGAGGTACTACTTGTTAGCTCACTTTGTAATTCTGGTTTCGAGATTGGATCCCATCAAATATCTCTTTGAGAAACCAGCGCTTACGGGTAGGCTAGCCCGTTGGTTGCTTCTTCTTTCTGAATTTGATCTGAAGTATGTTACTCGCAAGTCGATTAAGGGGAGTGCAGTAGCAAAGTTCCTGGCAGATCACCCAGTGAAAGGGGATGGAGCGGTAGAATACCTGTTCCCAGATGAAGCTATTCTGCAAGTCGAGGAAGAGATTTGGACAATGTACTTTGACAGGGTGTCTAATCAATACGGTTATGGGATAGGTGTGTTGCTGATAGCACCCGACAATTCCCATATACCCTTAGCCTTCAAACTTCGATTCAAAGTGTCCAATAACGAAGTAGAATACGAGGCGTGTATCGCTGGTTTGGAACCTGCCCTGGAACTAGGGGCAAAAAGGTTGGACGTTATTTGGGACTCGAACCTAGTTGTGTCTCAAGCAAAAGGAGATTGGAAGGTCAAAAGATGAAGATCTATCACCAAACCCAGGACATTCTGATTCCTAGGTTTGAAAAGCTGAAGTTCAGTGAATGTAAGCAGAGGTAGAACAATTATCTTTTGCAACAACTTCCCGTGTAGATTGTGGACTACCATCCTTATCTGATCTTTCTCGGAAGGCCTTGTGGTCATCATCGAAGCTTTAGCCCTCCATCATGGATTTGGAAAAGGAAAAGATAGGTGAAACCTACATTTAACTGGAAGGCTTTGTGGATTCTCAAGACTAGAGCTTATATACTCAACAAAACTTTCTTAAAGTTTCAATGTGGGACAAGCCTCACAAGGAAATCCACATTTAAAACTTAAATGTTCAATTCCACGAACCCGAAAATGACATCAACTTCCCATTCACTCGTAAATGATTTTGACGTACCGTCTTCACCGTGTGACTTGCCATGCGGCAAGGAACACATCACCTCTTCGGACCCACCCCAAAAGACGTTTGGGGTCCACTCAATTTTGGGCTCAAAGTCGGCCTAAAATAAGCCTTATAAACCAAATTTTCCAACAATTTATCCTTGTAAAAAATCACATTGATCGAATGTCGATAGCTACTTGATTGAATCAGATTTTCGTCAACAATTTATTTTGAAAATTATATTTACCATTGACAGAAATCTGATCCAATCACATAGCTATCGATATCTGATCAAAGTGATTTTTTATAGGGATAAAGTACTTAATGAGTTTTATATATTGAACGATTCAGATCATCGAAACGGGACCTGTGGTGGACCCTCATGGGCCCAACAGCACGTTCCAATCCGTTTACAAACTAAAGAGAAGCTAGGTTCTAAAAGAAAATATGAAATTTATTAACATTTTAAAAAACATTAAATGTATTTATACTTTTGTTCAACATTCCCCATGCTAGTGGAAGTATATAAAGTTAATTATTACTTTCTCAATATGTGCCCTAAGAGCACATGTTAACAAGACCCAATCTTATACTTGTAAGATTATCTTGATATTTTATAGTGACTTTTGCTTACTCTTATTGTAACCATGTTAAATAGGTTTGTCATTATATGTATTCATAATTTTTTTAAGTTACTTAATCATTTGCCCCATACCTTTTCCCCTTTCTCTATTGCTTTTTTCACATGGCAAGTCATCTCATTGTTGACTAATTTCACCAATTCGGTGTTGTGCTAGCACATGATTGAGTTTGCTTTGTGGTGCCTTAGTCTTGTTATGATGCTGCTTACACTCACCTCCTTTCACTCACCTCCTTTGTTGATATATCCACCTATATATATAAGAAGCGCTGCACCCTTCGTGGCTCGTATTTTTTTTTTCGATTTTACCCTTTTGCTT